CGCATGCAGCAGATCTGTGTGCTGGCTGGAGATCACGTAGCGCGCCACGCAACTGGAACATGTTTAAAAGTAACAGAGCTGAGCATTTCCAAGAAGCGCGGCCTTATGTTTTCAGTTACTGGAACTGCAGCCTCTTCACCCAACACAACAGGATCAGCAGAATGAGAAGATGAACTATTAACCCTCGACTAGCTCAGCAAAGCTACGCAGATACATGATCATCCACTGGGTGCAGGGTCAGCGATGATTGGCCTGGACATCCACTGGGTGCAGGGTCAGCGATGATCGGCCTGGACATCCACTGGGTGCAGGGTCAGCGATGATCGGCCTGGACATCCACTGGGTGCAGGGTCAGCGATGATCGGCCTGGACATCCACTGGGTGCAGGGTCAGCGATGCAAGGCCTGGACATCCACTGGGTGCAGGGTCAGCGATGATCGGTCTGGACATCCACTGGGTGCAGGGTCAGCAATGATCGGCCTGGTCATCCACTGGGTGCAGGGTCAGCGATGATCGGCCTGGACATCCACTGGGTGCAGGGTCAGCGATGATCGGCCTGGACATCCACTGGGTGCAGGGTCAGCGATGCAAGGCCTGGACATCCACTGGGTGCAGGGTCAGCGATGCAAGGCCTGGACATCCATTGAATGCAGGGTCAGCGATGATCGGCCTGGACATCCACTGGGTGCAGGGTAAGCAATGCTCGGCCTGGACATCCACTGGGTGCAGGGTCAGCGATGATTGGCATGGACATCCATTGGGTGCAGGGTCAGCGATGCAAGGCCTGGACATCCATTGGGTGCAGGGTCAGCGATGATCGGCCCTGGACATCCACTGGGTGCAGGGTCAGCGATGATCGGCCTGGTCATCCACTGGGTGCAGGGTCAGCGATGATCGGCCTGGACATCCACTGGGTGCAGGGTCAGCGATGATCGGCCTGGACATCCACTGGGTGCAGGGTCAGCGATGATCGGCCTGGACATCCACTGGGTGCAGGGTCAGCGATGATTGGCCTGGACATCCACTGGGTGCAGGGTCAGCGATGATTGGCCTGGACATCCACTGGGTGCAGGGTCAGCGATGATTGGCCTGGACATCCATTGGGTGCAGGGTCAGCGATGATTGGCCTGGACATCCATTGGGTGCAGGGTCAGCGATGATTGGCCTGGACATCCATTGGGTGCAGGGTCAGTGATGATTGGCCTGGACATCCATTGGGTGCAGGGTCAGCGATGATTGGCCTGGACATCCACTGGGTGCAGGGTCAGCGATGATTGGCCTGGACATCCACTGGGTGCAGGGTCGGCGATGCTCAGCCTGTACATCCACTGGGTGCAGGGTCAGCGATGATCGGCCTGGACATCCACTGGTTGCAGGGTCAGCGGTGCTCGGCCTGGACATCCACTGGGTGCAGGGTCAGCGATGATTGGCCTGGACATCCACTGGGTGCAGGGTCAGCGATGATTGGCCTGGACATCCACTGGGTGCAGGGCCAGCGATGATTGGCCTGGACATCGATTGGGTGCAGGGTCAGCGATGATCGGCCTGGACATCCACTGGGTGCAGGGTCAGCGATGATCAGCCTGGACATCCACTGGGTGCAGGGTCAGCGATGATCAGCCCTGGACATCCATTGGGTGCAGGGTCAGCGATGCAAGGCCTGGACATCCATTGGGTGCAGGGTCAGCGATGATCGACCTGGACATCCACTGGGTGCAGGTCAGCGATGCAAGGCCTGGACATCCATTGGGTGCAGGGTCAGCGATGCAAGGCCTGGACATCCACTGGGTGCAGGGTCAGCGATGATCAGCCTGGACATCCATTGGGTGCAGGGTCAGCGATGATCAGCCTGGACATCCATTGGGTGCAGGGTCAGCGATGCAAGGCCTGGACATCCATTGGGTGCAGGGTCAGCGATGCAAGGCCTGGACATCCACTGGGTGCAGGTTCAGCGATGATCGGCCTGGACATCCATTGGGTGCAGGGTCAGCGATGATCGGCCTGGACATCCATTGGGTGCAGGGTCAGCGATGATCGGCCTGGACATCCACTGGGTGCAGGGTCAGCGATGATTGGCCTGGACATCCATTGGGTGCAGGGTCAGCGATGATCGGCCTGGACATCCATTGGGTGCAGGGTCAGCGATGCAAGGCCTGGACATCCATTGGGTGCAGGGTCAGCGATGCAAGGCCTGGACATCCATTGGGTGCAGGGTCAGGGACACTTGGCCTTTCCATGTATTGACCCTGGCCGCACCAGAAGATTACAGCAGCAGGAAGGGGGAGGGGTTGAGGATTTTCACAAACAGAAGAATCAGCACAAGGGAGAGATCCCACCGACTTGCAGAGTTATGTCCCTTGTGCTCTTTGGCTGCACTTTGGCTTTAGGCGATCCATGTGAGGATTCTGGTTGTATAGTGAGAGATGGAAACCAGACAAGCGGCTTCTCAGATCATTTATCGATGACTAAGCCCAGCCACACGGGATGAAAGCCGCTCTTCATACCCGACGCGTTTCACCATTACAGTGCTGAGTCACAGAGTCATTGTGTCAGGAACCTGCTTGTTGTGCCGCCCCCCCCCCCACGCAGAGCTCCGTAATGATATCATCCATCCCCCCCCACGCAGAGCTCCGTAATGATGTCATCCATCCCCCCCCCCCCCCCACGCAGAGCTCCGTAATGATGTCATCCATCCCCCCCCCCCCCACGCAGAGCTCCGTAATGATGTCATCCATCCCCCCCCCCCCCCACGCAGAGCTCCGTAATGATGTCATCCATCCACCCCCCCCCCCCCACGCAGAGCTCCGTAATGATGTCATCCATCCCCCCCCCCCCCCCCACGCAGAGCTCCGTAATGATGTCATCCATGCCCCCCCCCCCCCCCACGCAGAGCTCCGTAATGATGTCATCCACCCCCCCCCCCCCACGCAGAGCTCCGTAATGATGTCATCCATCCCCCCCCACGCAGAGCTCCGTAATGATGTCATCCATCCCCCCCCCCCCCCCACGCAGAGCTCCGTAATGATGTCATCCATCCCCCCCCCCACGCAGAGCTCCGTAATGATGTCATCCATCCACCCCCCACGCAGAGCTCCGTAATGATGTCATCCATCCCCCCCCCCCCCCCCACGCAGAGCTCCGTAATGATGTCATCCATCCACCCCCCACGCAGAGCTCCGTAATGATGTCATCCATCCATCATTCCCATCCCCCCCCCCCCACGCAGAGCTCCGTAATGATGTCATCCATCTCCCCCCCCCACGCAGAGCTCCGTAATGATGTCATCCATCCCCCCCCCCCACGCAGAGCTCCGTAATGATGTCATCCATCCCCCCCCCCCACGCAGAGCTCCGTAATGATGTCATCCACCCCCCCCCCCACGCAGAGCTCCGTAATGATGTCATCCATCCCCCCCCCCACGCAGAGCTCCGTAATGATGTCATCCACCCCCCCCCCCACGCAGAGCTCCGTAATGATGTCATCCATCCCCCCCCCACGCAGAGCTCCGTAATGATGTCATCCATCCCCCCCCTTCCTACCCGCCATTGACTCTACCACAATCTATGGACTGAACGACCCGTCCAGACGTGACATTCATCCAACGAGGGAAATGTGACAGCAAAAGCTTCATTAACAGAGATGAAGAAAAAATGAGACCATCCCATCCCCCCCCCCCCCCCCCCCCCCCCCCCCAGCACACAGTCATTAGAGCCTCCATTTACCAAACTCAATTAGAGTCCTGAAAAGTCTGCTCAGTGTCTGCCGCCCCCCCCTCGTGTCTGCTGCCCCCCCCCTCGTGTCTGCTGCCCCCCCCCCCCCACCGTGTTCATCTGCATCCGAGAAACGTGAAAGCAGAACCTTCGTGTAGAGACAAGCGAGCAGCTAATGAACCCGCCAAGCGGATAATAGGACCGTCTGCTCATGGGGACAGGAGAAAGTATGTGACACCAGACAGGACTGCCGCACGTTGCAAGTCCACTGATGGGGGGGGGGGGGGAGGGGGGGGGGCGAGGGGGATTGGGGGAAATTCTTGGGGGGTGGGGGGGGGAAGGGGGGGGGGATCTGCATCCCGGGGGGGGACGGGGGGGGCTCAACGTTACATTGCTAGGGAATCATTCATGCTTCCTATATTATAGATCAGGGTGTCCAATCTGCAACCCGGGCAAGATGCGGCACTTTGCTCGCTGTTATCAGGCCCTTATTCCTCCCACTGACACCAATGATGGGGCACTATTCCTCCCACTGACACCAATGATGGGGCACTATTCCTCCCACTGACACCAATGATGGGGCACTATTCCTCCACACTGATGTGACACCAATGATGGGCACTATTCCTCCCACTGATACCAATGATGGGACACTATTCCTCCCACTGATACCAATGATGGGACACTATTCCTCCCACTGACACCAATGATGGGACACTAATTCCTCCCACTGATACCAATGATGGGACACTATTCCTCCCACTGACACCAATGATGGGGCACTATTCCTCCCACTGACACCAATGATGGGGCACTATTCCTCCCACTGACACCAATGATGGGGCACTATTCCTCCCACTGGACACCAATGATGGGGCACTATTCCTGACACCAATGATGGGCACCCCACTGACACCAATGATGGGACACTATTCCTCCCCCTGACACCAATGATGGGGCACTATTCCTCCCACTGACACCAATGATGGGGGCACTATTCCTCCCACTGACACCAATGAATGGGGCACTATTCCTCCCACTGACACCAATGATGGGCACTTATTCCTCCCACTGACACCAATGATGGGGCACTATTCCTCCCACTGAACACCAATGATGGGGCACTATTCCTCCACTGACACCAATGATGGGGCACTATTCCTCCCACTGACACCAATGATGGGGCACTATTCCTCCCACTGACACCAATGATGGGGCACTATTCCCCCTCACTGACACCAATGATGCACTATTTCCCAGTGACCCATGAGCACACCTCCCAATGGGGCACTATTCCTCCCACTGACACCAATGATGGGGCACTATTCCTCCCACTGACACCAATGATGGGGCACTATTCCCACCCACTGACACCAATGATGGGCACTATTCCCCCCACTGACACCATGATGGGGCACTATCCTCCCACTGACCATGATGGGGACTATTCCTCCCACTGGAACACCAATGATGGGGCACTATTCCTCCCACAGTGACACCAATGATGGGCACTATTCCTCCCACTCCTCCCACTGACACCCAATGATGGGGCACTATTCCTGCCCACTGACACCAATGATGGGGCACTATTCCTCCCACTGACACCAATGTTGGGGGCAACTATTCCCCCCACTGACACCAATGATGGGGCAACTATTCCTCCCACATGACACCAATGATGGGGCACTAATTCCTCCCACTGACACCAATCGATGGGCACTACTTTCCTCCCATCTGAAGAACCCACAATATGACATTCCGTCTCCACTGACACCAACGATGGGGCACTATCCTCCCACTGACCTACTGACACCAAACGATGGGGCACTATTTCCTCTCCACTGACAAAGCACCAACGATGGGGCACTATTCCTCCCACTTGACACCAATGATGGGGCACTATTCCTCCCACTGACACCAATGATGGGGCACTACTTCCTCCCATCTGACACCAAACGATGGGCACTATTCCTCCCACTGACACCAACGATGGGGCACTATTCCTCACCACTGACACTATTCCTCCCACTGATGAATGGGGCACTATTCCTCCCACTGACACCAATGATGGGGCACTATTCCTCTCCACTGACACCCAATGATGGGGCACTATTCCTCCCACTGACACCAATGATGGGGCACTATTCCTCCCACTGACACCAATGATGGGGCACTATTCCTCCCACTGACACCAATGATGGGGCACTATTTCCTCCCACTGACACCAATGATGGGGCACTATCAATGATGGTGATCCTTTCCTCCCACCAATCACTGATGGGGCACTATTCCTCCCACTGACACCAAATGATGGGGGCACAATTCCTCCCAGTGACACCAATGATGGGGCACTATTCCTCCCCCTGACACCAATGTGACACCAATGATGATGGGGCACTATTCCTCCCAGTGACACCAATGGATGGGCACTATCCAGTGAAACCACCAATGATGGCCTACACTCCCACTGACATCAAAGATGGGGCACTATTCCTCACCACTCCAGTTGAACTGGGCACCACTACGATGGGCACTATTCCTCCCACTGACACCAATGATGGGGCAACTATTCCCCCCACTGACACCAATGATCGGGGCACTAGTTTCCTCCCACTGACACGCCAATGATGGGGCACTATTCCTCCCACTGACACCAACGATGGGGGCACTATTCCTGCCACTGACACCAACGATGGGGCACTATTCCTACCCACTGACACCAACGATGGGGGCACTATTCCTCCCACTGACACCAATGATGGGGCACTATTCCCCCCCACTGACACCAATGATGGGGCACTATTCCTCTCCACTGACCCAACTATGGGCACTATTCCTCCCACTGACCACCAACTATGGGGCACTATTCTCCCACTGACACCAATGATGGGGCACTATTCCTCCCACTGACACCAATGATGGGGGCACTATTCCTCCCACTGACACCAACGATGGGGCACTATTCCTCCCACTGACACCAACGATGGGGCACTATTCCTGCCACTGACACCAAACGATGGGGCACTATTCCCCCCACAGACACCAACGATGGGGCACTATTCCTCCCACTGACAACCAATGATGGGGCACTATTCCCCCCACTGACACCAACTATGGGCACTATTCCTCCCACTGACACCAATGATGGGGCACTATTCCTCCCACTGACACCAATGATGGGGGCACTATTCCCCCCACTGACACCAATGATGGGGCACTGTTCCTCCCACTGACACCAATGATGGGGCACTATTCCCCCCACTGATATCAATGATGGGGCACTATTTCCTCCCCACTGACACCAATGATGGGACACTATTCCTTCCACCAACAATGGGGAACTATTCCTCCCACCAACACCAACAATGGGGCATTTGTAACAGTGCCTAGCCAGCATCACTCGGCAGGCATGATGACGTTACCCGGTCAAGCCCTACCCAACGCGTTTCGTCGTAATTATCGTCGGCTTGGTATCAACATGCTTGCTTGATCTCTCGGTCATAGGGATAATTTATATACCTTGTGGTGGAGGAAACTAGGCGTTTGGTGGTCCCTTCACCCGACTGGTATACTGCAGAATCCTTTACCCGCCTTAGTCTTCCCTTAAAGCATGTTGAAGATTTTCACACTCTGGACTTCAATTTATTTCATTTACACTTATTATTTTATCGTTCATTTGTGTCCCCATTGGAAGAATCGCTTTGCTGGGGACATGAAAAAATGTGGGATCTCTTTTTGCTTTCGATGAAACAGGACGAATAGAGAGGGGGACTCTCCTTAAAGGGGGCACAGTTAGAAATATAAACCTGTCGTGGGGGGAGGGGGAGGGGGGGTCTAATCCAAAACTAGAAGAGATAAAAAGGTTTAGCCTTTGGTTATCCATCAAGGAAGATTCCCTGTGTATTGGGATCTGATCTCTCTGGCCGGCAGGATCAATATCAATGATTGAAAACGCTTTTACCTCCAGCAGGCAGACGGCATTTTCCGATCCATTAACACGGCTCAGTACATACCCCTCCCCCCCCGCCCCCCTCCTACATAAAAGCAAAAAAAAACGAACAACTAAAAAACAACCAGCGGGAAACAATCAGCCAAAAGGAATGTCTGTGTACAGAATTACAGGTCATTAGATCGGCTGTAATCACAAGTGTTCTGCAAAACTGCTGAGAGGGTAATACAGAGGAGAGGAGTACAGAGGAGAGGAGTACAGAGGAAAGGAGTACAGAGGAAAGGAGTACAGAGGAAAGGAGTACAGAGGAAAGGAGTACAGAGGAAAGGAGTACAGAGGAAAGGTGTACAGAGGAAAGGAGTAGAGAGGAAAGGAGTACAGAGGAAAGGAGTACAGAGGAAAGGAGTACAGAGGAGAGGAGTACAGAGGAAAGGAGTACAGAGGAAAGGAGTAGAGAGGAAAGGAGTACAGAGGAAAGGAGTACAGAGGAAAGGAGTACAGAGGAAAGGTGTACAGAGGAAAGGAGTACAGAGGAAAGGAGTACAGAGGAAAGGAGTACAGAGGTCCTGTGTAGGCAGCCGAGACACGAACAAACAAAAACACATAAAAGGCAAAAGATAAAAATATTGGTGAAACGTATTCACAGCCAAAACATCGGGATGGACCGGGGGAGGGGGAGATTTCCCATCAGCTACTGTCCCCGGGAGACAAACAGGAAGTGAAAGGAAATCTTCACATGGGGGGGGGGGTACCCGCTCCCACTTCCGGCTCAGTTCGCCGTGGCCCCTCCTCCCTCCCGCAGTCTTCTGGGAACTTTCACAGGTCCCGGGAGACTGCCGGACCAATTGGGAGGTGCGGCGTGACTCGCGCATGCGACAGCCTGGTGCTCACAGTAGAGATCCCGGCACCATGGAGGACAGAAGGGACTGCGCGGATGAGCGCGGCGGGGGGGTACCCGCTCCCACTTCTGGCTCAGTTTGCGCGGCCCCTCCTGGGAACTTTCACAGGTCCCGGGAGACTGCTGGACCAATCAGGAGGCACGGCGTGACTCGTGCATGCGCAATGGGCACCCGGCAGTGAAGCTGCAAGCTGTCGCAGCCTGGTGCTCAAAGTAGAGATGGAGGGCAGAAGAGGAGAAGGGACTGTGCAGGTGAGCGGGGGGGGGGGGTACCCGCTCCCACTTCCGGCTCGGTTCGCCGTGGCCCCTCCTCCCTCCCGCAGTCTCCCGGGAACTTTCACAGGTCCTGAGAGACTGCTGGACCAATCAGGAGGCGCAGTGTGACTCGCGAATGCGCAATGGGCACCAGGCCGGGAAGCCACAAGCTGTCGCAGCCTGGTGCTCACAGTAGGGATGGAGGACAGAAGGAGAGCAGGGACTGCACAGGTGAGGGGGGGAGTTAGGGGGTTGATACCCGCTCCCACTTCCGGCTCAGTTTGCCACGGCCCCTCCTCCCTCCCGGAACTTTCACAGGTCCCAGGAGACTGCCGGACCAATCAGGAGGCGCGGCGTGACTCGCGCATGAGCAATGGGCACCAGGCTGTGAAGCCGCAATCTGTCGCAGCCTGGTGCTCGCAGTAGAGATCCCGGCGCCGTGGAGGACAGAAGGAGAGAAGGGAATGCGCGGGTGAGCAGGGGGAACCTGCTCCCACTTCCGGCTCAGTTCGCCGCAGCAAAGTGACCTGGAAGTTCAGCCGCCTCCACAAGTCCCAGGAGACTGCCGGACAAATAAGGAGGCGCGGCGTGACTCGCGCATGAGCAATGGGCACCAGGCTGTGAAGCCGCAAGCTGTCGCAGCCTGGTGCTCACAGTAGAGATCCTGGCGCTATGGACGACAGAAGGAGAGAAGGGACTGCACAGGTGTGCGGAAAGGGGGGGGGGGGGGGGGATGGGACCCGCTACCACTTCTGGCTCAGTTCGCGCGGCCCCTCCTGGGAACTTTCACAGGTCCTGGGAGACTGCTGGACCAATCAGGAGGCGCGGTGTGACTCGTGCATGCGCAATGGGCACCAGGCTGTGAAGCCGCAAGCTGTCGCTGCCTGGTGCTCAAAGTAGAGATGGAGGACAGAAGGAGAGCAGGGACAGTGCAGGTGAGTGGAGGGGGGGTACGCGCTCCTACTTCCGGCTCAGTTCGCCATGGCCCCTCCTCCCTCTCGCAGTCTCCTGGGAACTTTCACAGGCCCCAGGAGACTGCTGGACCAATCAGGAGGTGCGTCGTGACTCGCGCATGCAACAGCCTGGTGCTCACAGTAGATGTCCCGGCACCATGGAGGACAGTAGGGACTCTGCAGGTGAGCGGGGAGTGGGGGGGGGGTTGGGGTACCCGCTCCCACTTCCGGCTCAGTTCGCCGTGGCCCCTCCTCCCTCTCACAGTCTCCTGGGAACTTTCACAGGTTCCAGGAGACTGCTGGACCAATCAGGAGGTGCGTCGTGACTCGCGCATGCAACAGCCTGGTGCTCACAGTAGAGGTCCCGGCACCATGGAGGACAGAAGGGACTGCGCGGGTGAGCACATCGCTGGACCCCGGGACAGGTAAAGCCGGACATACACGGGTCGAATTCAGAAATCATTTTCTTTAGGAAATCTTTCCTAAGAATTTTCGTTTGAATTTCGCACCTCATTAGCGGGTCACAGAAATGAACGATTTTCATGTGACCATTGAACTCGAGTGATCATGTTGGAATTTTTTTTGAAAAACAAACAAATTTCGAAACGATGGGAGATTCATGCAAGAAATGTAATCGAAAAAGAAATGAGCTGCGACCTGGAAAGAAAATTCTTGGCCACGAAAATTCTCATCTGTAGCAACACGAGGAGAAATTGAAGGCTTGGTTGGTTGAATTTCGAAATAAACGGCGACGCTGTCGGGTTACAAAATGCACAAAATTTACGATTTTCTAAAGAAAATTTGTTTGGAATTTGACCCGTGTATGGCCTGCAGAAGTGTTTATTAGACGTTTTTGTAGCTGCTGACTGTTAATAAACACAAAACGTCTGGAACTGCGCTGTACCCTCCCTAGCGGTCTGATTAGGTCAGGATTTCTGTGCTCAAAGCGGTACATTTTTTTTGCATGGAAATATGTAGTTTTTTTATTGTCGGCCTGTAATTTTTAGGAATAACTCCCTGAAATCTGTCCGGACAAGAGTCTAGTAAACATCCCGGGGAGGATAAAACTTGAAACACGAAATCATAAATTATAATATAATAAATAATCATAAAAAATAATAATATAATAATAATAATAAATGTAATTCAATAATATAATAAAACCAAAAACACTGAAATGTGAAATAGAGCGCCAAGTTGGCCCATCGCTGAGCTCAGTCGCAGAATCGTTTTCAGTGTCTGATGAGGAATTTCCCCCACCAATCATTATCACTCAATTCTGCAAGTGGTTCTGATTTACTATCGCTGTTCTCTAGCCGGTCTAAAACCGCGTCTGACCTAAAGGGACGCTTTTTGGACGCTTCTCAGTTTCCAGGCAGAAAGAACGGTAACAATGCAGGCAGGGCGCCGGACAAAGCACTCGGGACACAATGTATGTGAAATGGTTGGATACAGGAATGTTATACAATGTGATTTTAGTGATTTTAGTGAATGTCACTTTTTGACATTCAAATTTCCTGCCAGTTCCGTCCCCCGTACGTCCCGACGTCGCAGGGAACGGAACCCGGAAGATGGATGCCGGCATCAGCCGGAGGACATTACAGGGGACACTGCAGGGGGGACATCGCGGGAGCGCAGGACAAGGTAAGTGCTGGAGGAAATCCCGGAGCAACGCTGCAGTGTATTCCTGCTTGGGGGTGTAGCTGTTAGGGGGGGGGGGGGGGGGGGGGGGGGCGGATGGGGGGGAGGGAGGGGGGGGGGGGGGGGGGGGGGGGGGGGGGGGGGGGGGGGGGGGGGATTACCGCTTGTGGTGCTGAAAATTTACCCCGAGCTACACTCAGGATTACCTCCAGGGGGGCTAAGCTGTGAGCATTAACCTCTTCCCGTCCGGCCCATGTATATAAACGGCCTCCCCACCCCATTTGTGCACACTCCCTGGGAGTGCGCAGCACCACGATCCGATGTCTGCTGTGTCCTCTGGACACAGTGGAACACCGGTCATCATACGGGACCTCTGTGTGAGGTCCCAATCATGTGATCACTGATTGGCCAATCAGTGATCACATGCAGAGTAGTAAACAAGATGTTACTTCCTGACATCATTGCTTACTACATGTGAAATCTGTGAATGATCACAGAGATCACATGGTACAGGGCCATTCACAACAGCCTTGTACCATGTGACAAGCTGTGACCAATCACAGCTCACACAGTAGTTCTCAATGTCTGCAGGAACGCAGCCAGAGAGAAGGAGAAATGATTGCTTTTATATCCATAAAGCCTGTAAAAGCAATCAGTGTAAAAAAAAAAAAAAAAAAAAAAATCTTCATCACCCCCCTGTTGTGAATCGCCCTGTACCATGTGATCTCTGTGATCATTCACAGATTTCACACGTAGTAAGCAATGATATCAGAAGTGACATCTTGATTACACCGATTCATGTGATCACCGGATTTTTAAATGCAATTGCCGGCTTTCTTTTTTTTGTCTTCACTATAGCTCACAGAATTAGCTGTCACTTTCCCCGGAGCTAAAGGAAACTGTTTCTTTTAATTCAGGGAAAGAAACTACAAGGAAACTTTGTTCCTATTACCTCAGGGAAAGAAACTGTCTTTTAACTCCAGAAAGAAACTACAAGGAAACGTTGTTTATTTTAGCTGGGGGGAAAGTGACAGCTTATTCTGTGAGATACAGTGAAGGATAAAAAAAAAAAAAAAAAAGCCGGTAATTACATTTAAAAACCGGCACTGACCTATAGTGACAGCAAGTCATTGTATACACCGCTCCGCTCCTGCCTCTCTCAGCCATCTCACCCCCCCCCCCCACCCCCACCCCCACACAGTCCCCTGTATAGGCTAAATATTTCCTATGCAGAAAGGGCCATTTTCGGGCGATATGTTTCGATGGACGACGTTTCGGTGCATCCCTAGTTTTCATTGAGTAAAACTCCGGATCCCAAGAACCAACTTGTACAAATAACAACCCGGGAGGCTTCAACGGTCAGAGAAGTGCAGAGTTTACAGAACACAGAAATATTACATAAAAACACAAATCATTAGAGAGATTAGAGGGCCAACATGTCTCGGGTGGGATTGGTTTTGACATATAGACCGTATCAGGGACGGAGGAAACGATCCGGACCGCCAAGGACTATACGACTCCCTACATTCCTATGTGGTTAGCATGGACAACCTTCAATCACAAACTTCATATCGGCCCAATTTCAACACAACTCCTCCCTTCCTGAAAGGCAAGCTTGGGCTTGAGGACCATCACTCTCCCAATGGACATCACTCCTACATGGCTCACCATGCCGCGCGAGGCCCGCGCAAGGCTGAGGGGGAGGAGCGCGCGAGGCCCGCGCAAGGCTGAGGGGGAGGAGCGCGCGAGGCCCGAGCAAGGCTGAGGGGGAGGAGCGCGCGAGGCCCGCGCAAGGCTGAGGGGGAGGAGCGCGCGAGGCCCGCGCAAGGCTGAGGGGGAGGAGCGCGCGAGGCCCGCGCAAGGCTGAGGGGGAGGAGCGCGCGAGGCCCGCGCAAGGCTGAGGGGGAGGAGCGCGCGAGGCCCGCGCAAGGCTGAGGGGGGAGGAGCGCGCGAGGCCCGCGCAAGGCTGAGGGGGAGGAGCGCGCGAGGCTGAAGGGGAGGAGCCGGTACGCCCGCACAAGGCTGAAGGGGCTGAAGGGGAGGAGCCGGTACGCCCGTGCGGGACTGAAGGGGAGGAGCCGGTACGCCCGTGCAAGACTGAAGGGGAGGAGCCGGTACGCCCGTGCAAGACTGAAGGGGAGGAGCCGGTACGCCCGTGCAAGACTGAAGGGGAGGAGCCGGTACGCCCGTGCAAGACTGAAGGGGAGGAGCCGGTACGCCCGTGCAAGACTGAAGGGGAGGAGCCGGTACGCCCGTGCAAGACTGAAGGGGAGGAGCCGGTACGCCCGTGCAAGACTGAAGGGGAGGAGCCGGTACGCCCGTGCAAGACTGAAGGGGAGGAGCCGGTACGCCCGTGCAAGACTGAAGGGGAGGAGCCGGTACGCCCGTGCAAGACTGAAGGGGAGGAGCCGGTACGCCCGTGCAAGACTGAAGGGGAGGAGCCGGTACGCCCGTGCAAGACTGAAGGGGAGGAGCCGGTACGCCCGTGCAAGACTGAAGGGGAGGAGCCGGTACGCCCGTGCAAGACTGAAGGGGAGGAGCCGGTACGCCCGTGCAAGACTGAAGGGGAGGAGCCGGTACGCCCGTGCAAGACTGAAGGGGAGGAGCCGGTACGCCCGTGCAAGACTGAAGGGGAGGAGCCGGTACGCCCGTGCAAGACTGAAGGGGAGGAGCCGGTACGCCCGTGCAAGACTGAAGGGGAGGAGCCGGTACGCCCGTGCAAGACTGAAGGGGAGGAGCCGGTACGCCCGTGCAAGACTGAAGGGGAGGAGCCGGTACGCCCGTGCAAGACTGAAGGGGAGGAGCCGGTACGCCCGTGCAAGACTGAAGGGGAGGAGCCGGTACGCCCGTGCAAGACTGAAGGGGAGGAGCCGGTACGCCCCTGCAAGACTGAAGGGGAGGAGCCGGTACGCCCCTGCAAGACTGAAGGGGAGGAGCCGGTACGCCCGTGCAAGACTGAAGGGGAGGAGCCGGTACGCCCGTGCAAGACTGAAGGGGAGGAGCCGGTACGCCCGTGCAAGACTGAAGGGGAGGAGCCGGTACGCCCGTGCAAGACTGAAGGGGAGGAGCCGGTACGCCTGTGCAAGACTGAAGGGGAGGAGCCCTCGGCAGTCCTACTCACCTGACACACGGGGTCTCTGTTTTCTCAGTCTAAGCCAAGTGATAGTTGAACATATAAAAGTTGTCCTTCCTGGTACATCAGCTCCATCATACAGGAGGCAGCACAGCCAGCACACATACTAAGCATGCTCCCCCCCCCCCAGCACACGCAATGACAACCTACACACAGGAAGGAGGAGGATTAGAATTGGTAATATTTACAGGACGCTGATCTCTTTCACATTTACAACCGAAAAGAACTCCGCTCCCCATCAAGACTGATTTTCGCTTACATCTGTCCAGCAAATGTTGATGACATGAGAGCTGAAGATGAAGTTAATTTTTGCCAATTACCCATCGCCCCGCCCAGGACCCCCCCATCCCCCCCCCCCCCCCCGCTGCTGGAAAATATTCTGTTATCGTGCATTCATAAAATGTCAGTCTGTGTGCCGGAGATAAGAATCAGAACTGAGCGGCTGAACACAAACATTCCGCCATCCCAACGTCTGCCATGTAATAATGCTGAGAAATCATCTCTGCCTGATCAATATTTAACCAGGAACCCCGAGCAACTGAGATCAATCAGGGAACGCCTGGCGCTCTCCAGGAAACACGAAGTGTAGTCAGCGTCCATAAAGAGAACCGGTCAATGTGCGGCCAATACCGCCATCATCCCGATCCTGCACTCACTGGTCAATGTGCGGTCAAATACCGCCATCATCCCGATCCTGCACTCACTGGTCAATGTGCGGTCAATACCGCCATCATCCTGATCCTGCACTCACTGGTCAATGTGCGGCCAACACCGCCATCATCCCGATCCTGCACTCACTGGTCAATGTGCGGCCAACACCGCCATCATCCCGATCCTGCACTCACTGGTCAATGTGCGGCCAATACCGCCATCATCCCGATCCTGCACTCACTGGTCAATGTGCGGCCAATACCGCCATCATCCCGATCCTGCACTCACTGGTCAATGTGCGGCCAATACCGCCATCATCCCGATCCTGCACTCACTGGTCAATGTGCGGCCAACACCGCCATCATCCCGATCCTGCACTCACTGGTCAATGTGCGGCCAACACCGCCATCATCCCGATCCTGCACTCACTGGTCAATGTGCGGCCAATACCGCCATCATCCCGATCCTGCACTCACTAATCAATGTGCGGCCAATACCGCCATCATCCGATCCTGCACTCACTGGTCAATGTGCGGCCAATACCACCATCATCCCGATCCTGCATTCACTGGCCAATGTGTGGCCAATACCACCATCATCCCGATCCTGCACTCACTGGTCAATGTGCGGCCAATACCGCCATCATCCCGATCCTTTCCACACACATGACCTTTAATGACCCCCCAGTCTTAGTCCGTAGGGTTCAATATTGAGTTGGCCCCGCCCTTTCCACACACGACCTTTAATGGCCCCCCCCCCCAGTCTTAGTCCGTAGGGTTCAATATTGAGTTGGCCCCGCCCTTTCCCACACACATGACCTTTAATGCCCCCCCCCCCCAGTCTTAGTCCGTAGGGTTCAATATTGAGTTGCCCCGCCCTTTCCACACACATGACCTTTAATGGCCCCCAGTCTTAGTCCATAGGGTTCAACATTGAGTTGGCCCCGCCCTTTCCACACACATGACCTTAAATGGCCCCCCAGTCTTAGTCCGTAGGGTTCAATATTGAGTTGGCCCCGCCCATTGCAGCTTTAACAGCTTCAACTCTTCTGGGAAGGCCGTCCACAAGGTTTAGGAGGGTGTCTATGGGAAGGTTGGACCATTCTTCCAGAAGCACATTTGTCAGGTCAGGCACTGATGTCGGGGGAGGGGGCCTGGCTCGCAGTCTCCGCTCTAATTCATCCCAAAGGTGTTCTATGGGGTTGAGGTCAGGACTCTGTGCAGGACAGTCAAGTTCCTCCACCCCAAACTGGCTCCTCCATGTCTTTATGGACCTTGCTTTGTGCACTGGTGGGCAGTCATGTTGGAACAGGAAGGGACCATCCCCAAACTCCCTCCCACAAAGGTGGGAGCATGAAATTGTCCGAAATGTCACCTTAAGAGTTCCCTTCACTGGAACTAGGGGGCCAACCCAACTCTTGAAAAACAACCCCACACCATAACCCATAATCCCCCTCCACCAGACTTTACACTTGGCACAATGCAGTCAGGCAAGTACCGTTCTCCTGGCCACCACCAAACCTAGACACGTCCATCGGATTGCCAGACAGAGAAGTGTGATTGGTCACTGCAGAGAACACATCTCCATTTCTCTAGAGTCCAGTGGCGGCATGCTTTACACCACGGCATCCGACGCTTTGCATTGCACTTGGTGATGGAAGGCTTGGATGCAGCTGCTGGGCCATGGAAACCCATTCCATGAAGCTCTCTACGCACTGTTGTTGGGCTCATCTGAAGGCCACACCAAGTTTGGAGGTCTTTAGCTATTGACTCTGCAGACAGTTGGCGACTTCTGCGCACTGTGCGCTTCAGCATGCGCTGACCCCGCCCTGTCATGTGACGTGGCCTACCACTTGGTGGCTGAGTGGCTGTTCCCAGTGGCTTCCACTTTGTTATAATCCCACTAACAGTTGAGCGTGGAATATTTAGTAGCCAGGAAATGTCCCGGATGGACTTATTGCCCAGGTGGCCACCTATCACGGGACCACGCTTGGAGTCACTGAGCTCCTGAGAGCGACCCATTCTTTCACCAATGTTTGCAGAAGCCGTCTGCATACCTAGGGGCGTGATTGTAAACACCTGTGTCCATGGAGGGGATTGGAGCACCTGAATCACATGATATGGAGTGGATTGGAGCACCGGAATCACATTATATGGAGGGGATTGGAGCACCTGAATCACATTATATGGAGGGGATTGGAGCACCTGAATCACATGATTGGGAGGGGATTGGAGCACCTGAATCACATGATTGGGAGGGGATTGGAGCACCTGAATCACATGATTGGGAGGGGATTGGAGCACCGGAATCACATGATTGGGAGGGGATTGGAGCACCGGAATCACATGATTGGGAGGGGATTGGAGCACCGGAATCACGATTGGGAGGGGATTGGAGCACCGGAATCACATGATTGGGAGGGGATTGGAGCACCGGAATCACATGATTGGGAGGGGATTGGAGCACCGGAATCACATGATTGGGAGGGGATTGGAGCACCGGAATCACATGATTGGGAGGGGATTGGAGCACCGGAATCACATGATTGGGAGGGGATTGGAGCAACGGAATCACATGATTGGGAGGGGATTGGAGCCCCGGAATCACATGATTGGGAGGGGATTGGAGCACCGGAATCACATGATTGGGAGGGGATTGGAGCACCGGAATCACATGATTGGGGAGGGGATTGGAGCACCCGAGTCACATGATATGGAGGGGATTGGAGCACCTGAATCACATGATATGGAGGGGATTGGAGCACCGGAATCACATGATTGGGAGGGGATTGGAGCACCGGAATCACATGATTGGGAGGGGATTGGAGCACCGGAATCACATGATATGGAGTGCGGCCCAATACTTTTGGCCATATAGTGTATTTGTAAAGGCGCTGTTGACATGACATCTCCCCCACGTCGGTGACAACCCGCACAATCCATACAAAGAAACCAAAACAAATAAGTTGACAAAATAAGTTCTGTGTAATAAAATGGAAGGACGCCGGGAAAGTATTGAACGAGCCACAGAAATGTAATGTTCGGTGCAAAATCCTTCGCTGGTGATGGCGCTTCCAGACACCTCCGGTATGGAGGAACGAGTGACATGCGTTGCTCAGGTGGGGTTTTGGCCCGTTCTTCAACAGTCTTCAAATCGTTCCGTGGGCCTCTTCTATGAACTCTGACCTTCAGTTCTTTCCATGGATTTTCTATTGGATTCCAGTCCGGTGATTGGCTGGGCCGTTCCAGCAGCTTGATTTTCTGTCTTTGAAACCAATTAAGGCCTCATTGACACTTCTTGTATCTCGAAGCTCCAAAAAAGCTCGAACTTAAAATCAATTGTTCTCTATGGAGCCTGTTCACACCTGATCGCACGAACACGCACCACAGAGGACAACTGCTTTTTTTACGTTTGAGCGTTTTTGGAGCTTCGAGCTACAAGACGCTCCAAGTGTGAATGCAGCCTGAGCGTTTCCTTGGCTTTGTGTTTGGGATCGTTGTCTTGCTGGAATGTCCGCCCTCGTTTCATCTTCATCCTGGTAGATGGCAGCAGATTTTTGGTCCATTTTTCCATTCATCCTTCCTTATAATATGAAGTTTGTCAGTACCGTATGCTGAAAAGCAGCCTCACACCATGATGTCCCCACCTCCATGCTTCACAGTTGGTCTGATGTTTTTGGGGGGGATGTACAGTGCTCTGTGACCTCCATACATGGTGTGTATTATGGCTTCCAAAGAGTTCCATTTTGGCCTCATCTGACCAGACTACATCCCCCAGTACTTCACAAGCTGGTCTCAATGCAGTGCAGCAGTCTAAACGAGCTTCAACATGCTTCTTCAGCAATGGAGTCTTGCGCGATGACGTGCGTACAGGCCATGACGGTTGAATGCATTCTTTGAAACAATTGTACCCGCTAATTCAAGGTCTTTCTGAATATCTCCACAAGTGTTCCTTGGCTCTTGGACAACTCTTCTGAATTCTTTGTACTCCTCCATCAGAAATCTTGTGAGGGGACACCTGGTTGTGGCCGGTTTATGGTGAAATGTTCTTTCCACTTCCAGATTATGGCCCTAACAGTGCTCACTGGAACATTCAGAAGTTTAGAAATCCTTCTGTAACCAATTCCATCAGAATGTTTTGCAACAACAAGGTCTTGAGAGAGCTCTTTGCTTTTACCCATCATGAGATGTTTCTTGTGTGACACCTTGGTAATAAGACATCTTTTTTATTTATAGGCCTTAGGTTGAGAATAAGCCTGCATTGACAAGGGGCGCCGTAATCTGCCCCGGCAGGGGGCGCCGTAATCTGCCCCGGCAGGGGGCGCCGTAATCTGCCCCGGCAGGGGGCGCCGTAATCTGCCCCGGCAGGGGGCGCCGTAATCTGCCCCGGCAGGGGGCGCCGTAATCTGCCCCGGCAGGGGGCGCCGTAATCTGCCCCGGCAGGGGGCGCCGTAATCTGCCCCGACAAGGGGCGCCGTAATCTGCCCCGACAAGGGGCGCCGTAATCTGCACCGACAAGGGGCGCCGTAATATGCACCGACAGGGGCGCCGTAATATGCACCGACAAGGGGCGCCGTAATATGCACCGACAAGGGGCGCCGTAATATGCACCGACAAGGGGCGCCGTAATCTGCACCGACAAGGGGCGCCGTAATCTGCACACGACAAGGGGCGCCGTAATCTGCACCGACAAGGGGCGCCGTAATCTGCACCGACAGGGGGCGCCGTAATCTGCCCCGACAGGGGGCGTCGTAATCTGCACCGACAAGGGGCAGGATTGCATTCTAATTACTGATGGACAGCCAAGACAGCAGCTGTAATCTATGACTTTTTGCACCTCCTTTTCTTCATGTGTTCAATACTTTTTCCCTATGTCATTCCATTTTATTACATATAACTGAATTTCTGAACTTGTTTGTTTCGGTTTCTTTGTATTGGGTTGTTACCGACACGTGGTGAAAATTTCATGCCAATAGCACCTTTAGAAATATATTTACCGAGGAAAAGGGTGGCGTGTTCAATTCTTATGTTACCCGCTGTATTTTCTGAAAGCAGACGCCCTAGAGAATAAAATAGAGGTAGTTCCATTTTTTAAAGTCACACGATATCGCAAAATGGCATATAAAAAAAAAAAAAAAAACACACTAAAGTGAATTTTAGGGCAAACAAATGCAATAAATTACTCAAATTTTTGGTAAAATATAAAAAGATGAGGTTGCAGCGAGTAAATAGATACCAAACGTGTCATACCTTAAATTTGTGTGCGCTCGTGAAGTGGCGACAAGCGGCGGTATCCTATATTTTCTATAGGTGACGCTTCAAAACCCCCTACAGGTCATCAATTTAGTGTTACGGAGCATCACTTAACCCCTCACCTACGGGGCGCTTCTACCCCCTCCCTGCCCACCGGGCGCTTCTACCCCCTTCCTGCCCACCGGGCGCTTCTACCCCCTTCCTGCCTACCGGGCACTTCTACCCCCTTCCTGCCTACCGGACACTTCTACCCCCTTCCTGCCTACAGGGCGCTTCTACCCCCTTCCTGCCCACCGGGCACTTCTACCCCCTTCCTGCCCACCGGGCACTTCTACCCCCTTCCTGCCCACCGGGCACTTCTACCCCCTTCCTGCCCACCGGGCACTTCTACCCCCTTCCTGCCCACCGGGCACTTCTACCCCCTTCCTGCCCACCGGGCACTTCTACCCCCTTCCTGCCCACCGGGCACTTCTACCCCCTTCCTGCCCACCGGGCACTTCTACCCCCTTCCTGCCCACCGGGCACTTCTACCCCCTTCCTTCCACTACAGGGCACTTCTACCCCCTTCCTGCCTACAGAGCACTTCTACCCCCTCCCTCCCCCCAGGTCAATTTTCAGCGCTGTCACACTTTGAATGACAATTGCGCGGTCATGCAACACCCATATGTACCCGTATGACATTTTTATAATTTTTTTGAGACAGATAGAGCTTTCTTTTGGTGGTATTTAATCACCTCTGGGGGGGGGGTTTTTATTTTTTCTTAAACCAAAAACCACTGAAAATTTTGGAAAAAAAAAGTTTTAGTTTTTGTTATAAAATGTTGTAAATAAGTGTTTTTGCTCCTTCACTGATGTGCGCAAATGAGGCTGCAGTGATGGGCACTGATAGGTGGCAGTGATGGGCACTGATGAGGAGGCACTGATGCATACTGATAGGTGGCACTGACTGGCAGCTCACATGGGCACTATGTGACACTGATGGACATGGTAGGTGGCATGGATGAGCACTGACAGCTGGCACTGATGGACACTAACAGGTGGCACTGCTGGGACTACACAGATCATCAGTGCTCTGATCAGTGTAGATGTCCCCTCTGAGGAATACCAATTACCTGCTCTCCTCTCCTGTCAGCGTGACGGCTCGTGAGGAGAGAAATGCCGATAACCGGCATTTCCCTGTTTACATGTGATCAGCTGTGATTGGGCACAGCTGATCACATGACCGAGCCGGCATCTTCGGCTCTTTCCGTTGATCGGTGTCACACAGAGGGACACAGCGCAACGTCGCGCACAACTTCATTGGGGCGCATTTGTCACTCAAAAAGAAACTCCCGCTCTTTTTTTTTGGGGTGACAAGCTCAGCGCAGTTTTTAACAGCTTCCCGACCGCCCTATAGAAGATATACTGGTGCAGGGCAGCAGGGGTGCGCAAAATCCTGTATACATGATTCTGTATTTCCAGGTAGGGGGTGCGCATGTGCTCTACCCGCGCTGCCGTTCGCGGCCGCAGCTGTCAATCACCGGGTTCCGGCCGGTGATTCCCCTCCGGCACCCGGTGATCACCGAGCATCTCCAATGGGGAGGACAACTGGTTTGTTTACTAACAGTCCTCTTCCCTGTCGGCTCGGGCACACTGCACAGCCATCCAGAGCAGTGATTGAGTACAGTGAAGCACACAGACCCCGCCCCCTAGTAAACCACTCCCAGCACAGTTAACCCTTTGATCACCCCTCATATTAACCCCTTCCTGACCAGTCCCATTAGTACGGTATCAGTCATTTTTTTTTTAGCACTGATCACTGTACTGGTGTCACTGGGGATGTCAGTGACACCAAGCCCGTCCCTCCCCCAGTGTCAGAATGTCCCCCGCAGTCCCACTATAAGTCGCTGATCGCCGCCATTACTAGTTATATATATGAACAAATCCCCGTATCTATCCCGCCATTTGTAGACGCGACGACTTTCACATAAACCAATTAATTTACACGTATTTGGGATTTTTTTTAGCGAAGA